AAACTTGAGGTCACGGACGGACGGACAGACAGACGGACATGGCGAGCACAATAGCGTCTTTTTTCCATAAATAAGAAAATGCGCTAAAAACATTCAGAAGGAAACCCAACCTTACGTGAACGTATTCTTAACATCGGTTTCCTAATCCATGCTCATTTACAAAATTCTATCATAGCATAGTGATGTTGCGGTGGTGTTGCTGCACCGTACCAAGGGAAACTTTTCGGTCACTTGTTTGAGCGCCTGAAGTGATTTGATTCGTAAATGCTTTCTGATCACGACCTTAAAATTTATATGTATTTGGAACTTGATATTTTTTATTAGTAAGCAAGCGATATGCAGCTCTTTTAACTTGGGATGTATAATGAACTTGTAGGTCACAAGGTAACGTGGCCAACATTAAACAATATCAATTCAAGTAAAGATCAAATAACTAATCAAGACCGTTAATTTCACACGAAGTTGGTCGACTCTAACAGAGGTATTATCATTGCGTATAAATAATTGAACAGAAATGGACCGAACTAGAATCAATTGTATCAATTCTCGCACCAAAGAAGAGAAATTTATGTTATTAAAATTACTATGTAGTCAATTCGCAGAAATTTTTTTCCGTTTCGGCATTCTTTGGGAAATCTATTCTGATTTGTTGTATTTTTCTTACGTTCTCTTCATCGCTCTCTTTGAAGCGTTATCATTCTTTATCGCTAGATGTTATCTTTCAGTAGCCTGTGATCCATCATCCCCCTCCGTTTTCTTCACCGAATTCGTGTTAACGCCTAACCGATGTTTAGCCACTCTACAGTGGCACATCGGTAACGTCACTCGTTTTTTTTAAAGTAAACGTTTCACATCGCCAAGCCTAAGGAAACGCTGTAAACCTTCGAACACAAATTAAAACGAACTACTGCTCGGCTATATGCTAAGCAGCTACCTTTACGAACACTTCTTGATGCATATCTCTTTTCTTAAATTTGATTTTTTTGCACATGTCTTATCGTGAGCCTAAGAAGTCTGCGCATACGCTGCTCTTGATATATGTAAAATATTCCTGCGCTTACCATGACATCCCTGCTTTCGCTCACTGCTCTTTCCGTACACCCACTTGTAGGTGTTCACGATGAGGGTATATAAGCTGATTTACTCCTGCTTGATTTTGCGGGTTGTTGCAGCACCGACACTACGTACCAGTGCACTGCTTTAACCTCTATTTAGCCCCGCCTTCTGCAAATAATTTATCCTCCACGCGCGCACTCTTGTAGGTCGCTTCAAGGATTTTGCAATAAGGCAAGTCCATTCCCACACTCGAAGTGACTCATATGTTGCCCGCTGGTGGTAGCTGGTCTGCACTCGATCCATTTAAGGCTTTCCTCCAAAATCCAATTGTTACCGTGACAGACAACGCAATAGGACCTCGTCCACATCTCAGCAGGTCTTCCTCATTCTTACTTTGAAGCATGCGTTGCTTACGTCTTTTTCTAAATGACATGCGGCATTGTAACTATTTGCCGTTGGTCCATATCCCTAGTGAAATTCCATTATTAGTATGATATATTTTCCAGTGTTATAATATATGTGAGTATGATGGCAATATTCGTGTTTAATGTTATTTTCATTTGCAGTATGAAGCGTTCGATTGCCCTGGCCTCAAAAGCGAAATCGCTCGTCTTCAGGAATCGCTGGTGGCAGCTGAACAAACTCTGGGTGAGTGCATTCTAATTTTAACGTATGTTCTTGCCTCCTTAGATGCGATGAATTTGCTCGATTATTATTTAATTGTTTGGAATTGAAAATTTGTGTGCGAATGTTTATTACTTTCTTGCATGTTAATTCCAGTCAAGTTACGAATTTCATGAATATTTTGTAAATATATTCCGACTTTATATTATCAAAAATATTCGACCGACCTGTAGAATTACTTAGAGGATACCATTCATTTAAAACAGTAAGTAAATAGTTATAACGGTAATTGGCATTGTTGAGCACTGTATTGCCAGTTATCACAATACCCGATTCTCATCTTGTCACTTCTAGCTTGCTCATCAGACGATATTTGACCAGGTGACCGCGAGATCGCCCTTGCCGCTGCAGAAACAAAGCTCAGTGAAGAGCAGGCACGTGCATCGTTGGAGCAGCTGCAGCTCAGCGAGCAACATGAACGTGATTTGCTGCATCTGAAGCAGCAGCAAGAACTGGTACTGCAGCAACTCAAAGAGCGCCAGCAGCAAGAGTTGCTGGAAATTACTGCTCAACATGACGAAAGAGCTGCCAGTGGTGAGATGAGCTTGGTTTTGTGTTGCCATGTGAACGTTTTTTAGTTGTGTTTTGGCGTTTGCAGAGTAACATCAAAACACTGCGTGGTTGCTTGCAAACCACATGCAATTTCAGTCATCAATCATCACTCTATCGATCACCATCTTAGAACTGTCGATATTTTTTCACGTCGTCCTACCTTTTCCAGCTAGAACTTACTCTTTAAATAATTACATTTACCAAGAATTTATGTATAGTAACAGAATACCACGGTAATGCACCATATTTTCACTGAGGACGTTGCGAACCCCAACTTCCCCTGTAGTTCAATTAATTTAGAAAGCATGTACGAGTTATTCAATTAATTAATGCATCTGAAATTCACAAATTGGATATCGAAACATAAACAAATACATGATGAAAAAGCGACGTGAGACAAGCACCATCAGGCATCCTATCTTTTGACCATTTCACGCTGTCGGGAAATAAGAGGTATTTAGTTGCGCTGTATTGATGTTTGAAACCAGCATTTATTTTGGCGAAAATTAACCAAAAAAAAATATTTTTTTTGGAAGTTAAGATACCTTTCTGTCAATTGATGATTGCCTGCTGTTTATTAGCTAAGTTTTTCCCCGAACTAGGCGTATCAGGGAATCAATGGTACGGAGTTACTCAATTTTTATTCGAGACTCTCACGCAGCATAGAGGTAGGAGTTATCGTACTGGGAACCTACTCTAGCATCAACCTCATTTAGCACTGCAACGTTTAGGCTGAACAGTGTTACATCGTATTGTTACTTTTAGCTCCCACTTCCGATGTTTCTGACATGTAATTTTTAAAATCCCATATATTTCCTATATACCTATTTCAGAAGTAAGGTTTATTTATATACCGCTTCTAGTTTTTGTCCGTTTGACATTGTTTATAGTTAGGTTTGTCATCCTGTGCTTTCTTTCAGATTTCAGTTATGTTAATTCATATGAGCAATAGAAATAGATAATTTTTACCTGTATTTAAATACCGGTATTCTCAACCTGGCGATGGATGTGGCTTGGAAACACTTTAGGTGAAGATTTGGTTAATTTGCTTGATTTTTAATTATCTATTACTTATTGATTTGAGCGGTCCTTCATTGACCTTTGATCAAAAACTAAAGAATCAATTTAGAGACTTAACCTATGACTCTTTGAACGAATTGTGTATTTTGGACGGTGGTTTCGAGTACCATGAAATTAAATTCGGACTTGGTGATTTCTAATGCCAAAACATTTTATTGTGTGGACTTTGTTTCCCAATTTTTTTCGACTTCATTGAATGATTAGAAGCAGAACCTATTCAATACTTACGAACTACTTACACTCAAACCAATTACGAATCATAACGTCGTTATTTTGAAGTCCGCTGGTTGTTAGTCACGTTCCACAACAACTTGCCACAAGACTAATGCAAAATTGCATGTTTGAGCAGAGCAGAAGAAGCATCATCTGCAGATCCAAACACTGCAGGAAGAGCACAGCAACTTGGTGAGCATTAATTACTTAAGTAGTGAGTACTGACTTGAATGTTACTATTGCATTGCTTCGCTGTTATTCGTGGTTGACTTGCTTGTGTGTGATGATTTCTTGCGCTGTTGATGAGTAAGGGTAGAAAATACCTGGTCCTAGAGCCATTATATATACAATCTGAACGCTGACTTGTGTGGGTAAAAATATTTGCGCTACGGGAGAAAAGATACGAGTATATATGGCCCCTGAGTAGGATATATGGTCGAGTTGTGGACGATGTGATACGAGAGTAGTTACATGTGGTCTCGGATTATGTGGACCTTGTCCCAGAGTAGAAGGTTACGGCATCGTCCAGTAGTAGTTGTCCATGTCCGAAAGTAGCCATATATGGTCGTTTACTTGGAGTTTTTCTTTCGGCAGCTGTTAAAGATGGACCATTAGTTAACTTCTTCGGCCAGGCATTAGTTATTCGGTATCAGTTCATTGACATGAACCATCAGTACATAAAAATATTCATTTCCGTGGTTTTCGAATACAGAAATATTTATTCGAAGTACAAATAATATTCCTTTTCATGCTAACGACTTTCTTCAAAAAACGCAGCAATAATTAAAAAATGAGCGTCATATGTATGTTTGAAAGAGATGGTGAATTTTGAATTGCTCGACTTATGAAAATTTTTCAGGTATGCGAGTTGACATCGGCTCATAAATCTCGGGAAGAAGATCTCCAGGCACAAATTTTGTGCGCGGAGAAGGAGAGCGAGAAGCTGAGGGAGCGCAACTCCAAGTTACAAGAGTCCCTCCTGAGTGACTCCGACCATCGCCTTGTGGGCATCCGCCAGCACTGCTCCGACCTGCAGAAAGAGGTGAGCCGCCTTCATTAGTCCCTCACTTGCTTGCAAGATCTTGAATAATAAATGAATAATAAGATCTTAAATTATAGCCCATAAATGATAACTCGGTAGGTAGTGGTAGCTTGCAATCGCTCAAATTAACTCGCAAATTATGACCTTGCAATGATTGTGAGAGCTCATTTAACCGGTCAGTCAGCAAATGAAAGTAGTTTTTAAGGAAAATGAACAAAGTAAGGATTTAACAGATATTATTATCGTGTTTCATATCGTACCTACAAGATTGAAGAAGTTACAGAGGCAAATAATGATAGCTCATTAGAAAGTCGCTGCCAGAGGTTGGTTGTAGAAGTCTCGATGATCTGTTCAATTAGGCTCTAAAATAAGAGCATGAGAAACGTTCTCAAATAATTGCGTTTCTAATAATCGTAGCAATTCTTCATAATCACGCGAAAAATGTTTGCTTGATGCGTATTATGTCCTGCAGTTACTTTGAATTGCATTCTTGCTCTCTCTAGAAAATTGCAGAGCTTATGGGCGCCTCATACACATTATTCCGAAGAAAATTTGTTGAATTCACTTCATCCTCTATGAAAACGTTTCTTAATTTTCGAGAATAGAGAGAACTGGGCTGCCCCACTAACTCGTTTACTTGTTTTCAGATTCTTAGTTTGTGCGAATATTAAAAAAAAGGTACGTGTTACACGGCTTCATAAATTGCCACTGACTGGCTAGTGCACAATTGTTGGCTCAGTCGTTCGCTTGAACGGCACCAACGCGTGCCATGCCGCTGGTGCGGCACTCACGAACTGCATTTTTGCAGCAACTAATTTCCATATTTTGATAGAAACGGAATCGCCTGCATTGTGGTCCGACCATACTTTGCAAAGCATGTTTTTTGCAAGATGAAATTCGTACTTGTGAATATGAAAACCTGGAAGTTATTCCGATCAATATCATTAAAATTAAATTTTTAGCAAATTGATGTAGTAGTATTCGCGCTTGTTAGTAATTCTTGTTTGGAAAGTAGTAAAAGCAACCATCTGCTTATAAATGTGGCCTCTTTTATGTTGTCTTACCAACTAAAGATATTAATTTTCTGACGAATCATAAGGATAATTATTTTTAAATAAAATATTGCAGTGAACATACTAGTTAAAGCTGCAAATGAATCGAATAAACGCCTTCTCTGATTCATTGCTTTGTAGAACTTTGTGAACTAACAAGTTTAACGTCATTCTCCGTTAAAGAAGGCTATGCTGCGTATCGTTGTCTAATAATTCTGTGAGTGTTGATGGAGTGGCGTGCGTGCAGGTGGAGTCACTGAAGTCGGTGGTGGAGATGCGCAACAGCGACCTGCACAAGCTGAGGGCGCAGGTGGCGGGCATGGAGCAGCTGGAGCGCGAGCTGGAGGCCGCCCGCCACCACGCCAACACCCTGAACGCCAAGACCGAGGACCTCAACGCGCAGATCAACACTAAATCCCAGACTGAGAGGTGAGCCATCAACTGTATTTTCTCTTCTCCTGCTGGACATTTTTCTTCTTGCTATTCGCATTGTTCACTGGTTGCTCAGGATGCTCAGGCTAGTTATTGTTCCAGTGCTACTCATCTCTCTCCTTTCTACTCATCCCTTCTTAGTATTCTTAGTATATGTTTTGAACGTAGCAGTTCCAGGCCACGCCTCTGACTATTGCGCATCCGCCCTCATTTGGGGCTGCTGATGCACGATGCTGTTACTTGCTTCTCGCCGCTGGTAGTGGTTAATGCAAGAGGCGGACGATCAGAGATTGTGCTCCGGAGCACGTCCAGTCGCCTCTTAAAGGTCTCCAGGTTAAACTCCCCCTCTCTTAGATCCTTTGGTAGGACGTTGAACAGCCTCGGCCCTGCCACGGAAAAAGATCCTTCCTGCAGGGATTGAAATCGCAGTGGGGCAATCTTCCCCTTTCTCGTTATGGTATGTTTTAATCCTGAATGTTTCGCTTTCAAAGTTTGGTTTCATTTC